TAGCCAGTGCTGATAACTGAGCTGCAGCTGTGGCAGGGACAGGGAGGGAAGCAGCCCAAGGCCCACATGCTGAAAAGGGCTCCAGGGGGGAGAGAGTGCACATCTGTGTTGGCAGAGCCTGGGAGTGCCTGGCTTTGGCCTTTCCTGCACCCTCCAGATCTGCTTGTGGGCATAGCAGAGGATGTTGCAGCAGTTTGTTGCATACTGTGACCCGATGCTAACATTTAAAATCTGTTCATAAAATAAAATAAAATCACTTCTCCTGCTTTACTTGACAAGGTGCCCTTTGATGGTTTGGTGTTTTTACAGTCACGTGGTAGTGTTCATATATTTGTTCATGTATAATATTTGTTTAGTTCCCCTATTGGTTTTGGACTTGGCCTCAAATCACAGGAACTGACACTCTGTTATCTTTCAACTTTGTGTTTTTCTGCATAGTCTTTGGGGTTTGAAATGTGAGTTTCTGTATTACTTATAACCATAACAGCCATAATTCTTCCTGGGTAGAAGTAACTGCTGCAAAGCTCACGTAGGTTTATTCTTCAGATGTAAAAAAAGATAGGTTAAGTGACTTAGTTGTCTCTTCTCAGTGCGTGGACACACTTCCCCTTTCCACCCTGTGCAGCTGCTGTTTGCATAGTTTTAAGTTTTCTCTCACTTGGGTGCATTGAATCACAAAATGAAGTTCCTGAAAGAGCCCCTGTGGAGGGTGGAATAACTTTCCTTCCACTGTGCACGCAGAAAACAGATTTTTTTAGATGGAAGCTTGATGTGTGTGATCATTGAGCTGCTCTGGGCAGGGAGACTTGGTTTCTTTCCCCCTTTGATTAGTTCTATTGGGCTTTGGTATATTCAAAAGCAATTTATTCTGTGAGGAGTTTCTTTTAATTGTGGCTGTATGGTTGCAGCTTTTATTAAGGGAAGCTGTCTTAGTTAAGCCATAGTTTGATTCACTTTGAAATAATCTTTTTTTCTTTTTTTAAACAAAATTCTGAGTATTCACTTATAAGAAAACCAGTTATAAGGGTGTAAAATAGTTTCTGTGAAATTTAAATATGTTTTTAAGCAGAATCTGATATGAGACTATAGAGTCCATACCCCATTACTCCCCTTTATGCACTTAGTGGATTGTTGCAGACTGCTTAAGGGTGCTTTGCTGTTGCTTGATGTGTCACTGGTGTGTTACTGCAGTGTTCTGAGCAATAATAATATTCTTTTTATTTTAGATTCTTTGAATGATCTATATACCTCCTACGCCATCTTTTGTATCCTCCTCATGTCTGTGGTGATTCTGGTGATAAGCATCTTTAACGTTGAATTTTATGCAGGTGGGTTTTTGTACATCAATGAACTGTCTGTGATCCTTGAATTGAATAGGATGACCATTGAAAGAGATTTGTATTTACAGTTGTTATCCTAACACTGAAAGATTTCTTTTTACATTAATACAGACAACCTGTGAAGCTTATTCTTAAGTAATCTCAGATTTCTGCTCACCTCATGGCTCAGACCCTCTAGGCTGAGCTGCTTCATTGATTTCTTGATCCTACAGTGACTGACTCCAACTGTCAAGAGTTCTTTGGTGACAATGCATGTACAAAAATTCACTTTGGGCTTTTATTTACAGTTGTGCCATCAATACCATGCTCTCGATTAGCCCTGATAGGAAAAATGGTTCACCCTCAGCAAGTTATCCATTCCTTTGTCCATGCTGTCATGGGAATGTTGGTTGCTTGGTGTGCTGCAGTTATGACAAAAGGGAAGTTCCAGTTTCTTGCTGTGCCCTGCACACCTTCAGAAAGGTAATTATTTGTGTGTGTGTTAAAGAAAAACCATGCAAAGAACTTCTCTTGAAAAATGTATTTGCTGATGGCTTGTTTCAAACAAAACTAAAATTCCAGTACTGTGAAAAAGAATCATTTACATGCTGTTCATTGCTTTGTTGAATGAGAGGAAATGCTCTACTTTGTAAATGTTACAATGCACAGAGAAGTAACTGGGCCAAAAAGAATTGCCAAGGTTCTTAATGGAAAGCTGAATGGTGTCAAAGTGGTTGTCACTTGAATTAAGTCTTGGTCTTCTGGTTAATGTGACCTGTCTCAGAAATACTGGAAGCATCATCATGCATAAATGACAAAAATAGGTGATGGATGCCTCCTACTTTAGAAGAAACTCAGTGAGATATCATCACATGTACTGATCAGGAAAGTAAAATCAAACTTCTGGTTTGAAATTCTTAAGTCTAGAATTACTTTTTTTTTTTAAAAAAAAAAAAACACCTTGGAATTAATTCTAATTTTTCTGTTTTAGACTAAATGATGCTGCTCCTCAGATGTGCCTAAATGAGTATCACCTCTTTTTTCTACTTTCTGGAGCTTTCATGGGATACAGTTATAGTCTTTTGTATCTTATTAAGAACATGAATTATTTGCCATTTCCAATCATACAGGTAAGAGGTTTAAACACCTTTTAAGAACCATCTTTTTAAACAGAAAGACATGTCTAAGTAAAACAGACATCAGAAAAGCCTTGGTTGTTTATATATTTGAACGTGGCAGCAGCAGCTGTCTGTTGGCATGCTTTCACCCCTGGATGAAGCACACACTCAGCTTTAAATGCCACTAGTGTTCTTCTTCCACCTTCCTGCTCACCTCCTTTCAAATGAACACATATCCAGGATGCTGTGGCTATAAAATCCACACCCCCCTTGGGATTGTTGCAGAAAGTGAACTACAGGAAAGAAACAATATACACCAATTGAGTATTAACTCCTGGATCTGACAACAAGGGTCACCTAAAAGCTGAAAATCTAGAAAGTGGGGGGGATAAAAAGAGCATTTTATCAATTGTAACTGAATACCAGCTCACTTAAAATCTAAATAGCAAACTAAGCCTTGCTTATAGCTCAATATCCAAAGGTTGTTTCTGTGTGTAGTGCTATGGAAACTGAAATTCCATTAATTCCTTTGGTGGGGGCTTTAATGGTTCTACAGGAATCTGTACCAGTGTGAAATGATGAGGAGTGGCTTGTGCAACATCTTAAAAACCATCTTTCTTCTGTTGCTGTAGCCTTGCAGCAGCCACTAACTTTGCACAATTCCCAGACTTACAAAGTCCAACCAATTTGGCAAAAAGTGTCTCTAGACAAGGTTGCTGGTATTAGTGGAAAACTTTGAAGTCATGACCGTTCAGTTTGGCAGGAAACCAAATATTCACATTGGCTATGCTCTAGTTCTAGTCATTTTTAAAGTTTTATATCTGAATGATGTTAATTATTTTGTTTTTAATGCAACTTAGCCAAGTAAAACATGAAATCACTGTGGTTTCATTTGCATATAGTGTCAGTTGCTTTAGTCATTTGGAAAGACATATAATTTGTCTGTGTGGAGAAAAAGGCTTCAGTATTTCATTAGTTTCACTGCTTGGAGGATTACTGACTCATGGTTGTCTGAATTTTCCCCATATTTTAATGGAACACCTCTAATCTAAAAGAAATTCAGTAGATTAAATAAGCCTTCTCTGGGGTTTTTTGTTTATTTTGCATTACCCAGCATTATTCTAGTTTGTTCCCCTGTGCACAGAGTTAGTTTATCCCATCCTCTATTTTCATACTGCTACAAGCAGGAAAAGGGTGAGAACTAGAGGTGCTCATAAATCGGCAGATAGAGATGGGGAGAATAAAAAGGTTTGGGTTTTTTTTTTTAATTCAGCTAGATTGCAGGTTTTGAAATGCCTCAATTTTTTTTTCACCATCTCATTGATTTATTCTGAATGCAGGATACTAACCTCTCTTTTTGTTTGTTTGTTTTTAGCAATACAAGTACTTACGTTTCAGAAGATCTTTGCCTCTGCTCATTAAACACAGTTCTGTGCAGTCGCTGTCTTTTGTTAAAAACTTCTGTTTTGCATATTACTTTTTTGGTAAGGTTTCCTGAAATTCTCTCTTTTTTAAAAAAAAAATTAACTCTAAAACCAGATGCTTTGGGCCACTCTTTACATACTCATCCTGATTTGTGGCAAAAAGATGATAACTCTGAAAACACAGTGCAATTCCAAAGAAGTTTACTGTGTAATTTATATTCACTTTTTTCTTTAAACTTTCCCAAGTATTTTTTAACATGAATAAATATCTCCATGCTTTGGACTGCTCCTTCCATTGCCTGCTATTGGAAATGTAGCATTGCAGAGTTGAACCTGACATACCAGCAGTGGGCATGACTTCACTATATGTGATGTTGCTATATTTTAAGTGAAAACATGTTACTTTTCACTTTATATTATTTGGAGGAAGCTGGAGAGCTGAAAGCAGTATGACTCCCTCCCATATTAAAAGGACATTTGCTTTTTAAAACTACAGTAAAAAAAAAACCTGTGCTGATAAAGATGATTTCACTGGACTTCCTGAAAATCAGGATTTTTTTTTATGTTATGGTGTAATTATCCTCCTAAATGATGTCAGAATATGCCAAAATTATTTCCAGATTTATTTACATTATGGGAGACATTAGAAGTTCTGTATTGGTTGCTCTTCTTGTTAGTGAAGACACAAGTGGGCAAACCAAACCTCAAAGGCAGATCATTTCCTGATGCTTGTGTGTTACAAGACCAGTCTCTTTGCCTATACATGAATTCTACTCTTGTCTTCTTTTTGGCTTATTTTTGGTTTTGCAGTGTCACATTTTTTTCAGTGTTTCTTTTTGATCCTCTAGGTTATATCCCAAAGATCTGGATAAGTACCACAATGGATCTTCATATAGACAGGTAGGCAGCACGTGGTGCTGGACACTTGCAGGAGAATATTGCTGACAGTTCCCTTTGCTGAGGAAGTCCAGCTTAGCAACTGGCTCTGTGTGTCTAGTAGTTCCCTGCCTCCCCACACAGAACATGGGCAACATTGGGTACTTCTGGAATGGATCCCAAAGGAATCAACATCCTCTTGTAGGAACCATCACAGAGTCATAGAATGGTGAGGGTTGGAAGGGACCTCTGGAGATCATCTAGCCCAACCCCCCTGCCAAAGCAGGTTCTCCTAGAGCAGGTTGCACAGGATTGCTTCCAGGTGGGTTTTGAAAGTCTCCAGAGAAGACTTTATCTTGTAGATAGTCATTAAGAAATCCTCTGTTTCCTTCATCTCTCTAAGTGTGTAGAGCATTAGAAAGGCAGATCTCTCCAAATTGCATGTGTGTGTTTTATTTGCTTTGCTGTGCTGGGGGTGGTACATGTCTTTGTTTTTATATGGCTGCCATTTGATTTAAAATGGGAAAGCCACAATCAATACCTTAAGTGACTAAAACTGTAATCATTGTTATTTATTTTATATTTTTTTCCTTTAATTTTTATTCATTTCATTGCAGTTACTGAAAAAGTAAAGAAATGGTGTCTCAAAGATGTTTAAGAAACTTTTGGGGAAAAAAAAAATAAAGGCAACTTTATCCTTGCAATTGTGACTGCTGTAACAGCTTGTTGTAGACAACCTCCCTAATAAAAATCCCTGTCTTCTTGCTTGTTTTACCTGCAGTAAGTTGCATCCTCTTGACACCCTGACTGGCTTGTTGGATCTCTCCTTGTTTTACCATGCCTGGCTGTGTGGTGTGTTCCTCCTGATGACCTGGCACATCGCATGGTTACTCTTCAAAATCTATGCTACAGAGGTTAGTACCTCATGGCAGTGCTCAGGGTTTGACATCAGTGTCTCACAGATAATATTTTCTTTTCAAAAATAGTTTTGCTAGGAAATAACTAATGAATTATTGAATTTTCAAAGAATGCACTATGGATAATAGCAGATAATTGAACAGTTGAGAAAGGCCTGGACTTGAACTGTCCTTCCCTCTCTCTCCTTATGGCAAGACAAGCCTGCCTGTGCTGTTTGAAAAATAAATGCTTTTTACTCCTTTACTTCTATTTCCATGTCCTCCTCCTGTTTGATACTAAATCTGTGCAGATGTTGTTGGGACCACCCTAACAAACAACTACTTTGTGCTTCATGAAGCCTGTTCCATGTTCTTTGTCCTCTTTAGGTGTAAAGACAGATGAGACAGCGTGGGGTCCAAATATGTCAGGCAGAGCTCACTAGCTTGGCCTCTCTGTGTGTTTTCATGCAAGGATTTTGTATTTGAGTGTGAAACTAGCAGAAAACTTGTAACAAAACAGGTTACGTGGGGAGGTAACATCCAGAAACTATAGCTCTCTGTCCAATTTTATAACAGGAAAGAGAAGAAAATGCTGTTGCTCTATGAACCTCAGATTTAAGTGAAACATCAAAGTACATAGTTCTCCAAAGCAGGAACATGTTAAAATAATTCAGGCTGCAGTATTACAATAGACTTCAAGTGATCTTGGGAATTAAGACACTTGTGCTTTTTCATTCAATCATAAAGTTACAAATTAATTTGGCTATAAAATGGCTGTTTACATGTAATGAATCCTATTAGAATAAATGTGAGACTATGACTGAAGAGAGAAAAAAGTCTCAACAACAAAGAATCTGAGAAGACTTGTTCTTTGTTGACAAATCCAGATATTTCTTTATAAGCATACAGAAGAAAAAAATGTTCATTTAATGATTTAAAAAAAACCCCCACACTTCTAGATTGCAGATCAGTAGGAAAAAAAACAAGCCAGGTTTAAACCCTGTCTCAGTATATTGGTGCAAAGCACTCTTAGAGAATTAAATGGCATACAGTGCCCATTGGAGTGCTAAGTTTAATTATAAAAGTCTATTTCTTGTGGCTGCATGGACAAGAGATTAACAAATAAGTCAGTTGAACTGATGTAATGATGTGTCAGAATTTGTAGGCTCCAACAACAGCTCTGAGGTGTGAACAACCTGTTTCAAAGGGTAATGGTTGAAGCACCAGTAAACACTGTGTTCATCTGGATTTGTTGCTTGTAAAACTATGGAAAACAAAAGAAACATCCAGCTGTGAAGGTATAAAAAGGACCTTGCCCTTTTGACTTTTGAGCAAAAGATTTGTTTATCCATATGATTTATTTTTATGAGCTAAAATCTTCCCAAGCTGCTTGTAAATATTTGCATAGGGTTAACTGAAATGTAGAAAATAAATTGTAAACTTGAAAATATAAACATGAAGTTGCTTTACGAACGTTTTAAAAGTAATTGCCACCTCAGATTTCAGTTCTGCAGTTGGAAACAGAGGAGAATAAAGTTATGAGATGGAAAATGAGTGCAGCAACACAGAACTGACAGGTGATCTGTGCCCAAACTGATCCATGTTAAATAGCATTAAAAAAGATGCAATGTTTGATACAATTTAAGCACAGCTATTTACATTCCAAATGTAGCCACAAGAACAGAAACTCTATTAAAACACAGAATATTAATATCATGATCATAAAAATAAGAATTCATTATTTTATCAATGAAACAATGTGAAAAAAGAATTAAGAATTAATTTATTGAGGAAAAGAACACTCAGTTCTTCACCAGCGTGGTTACACTGTTAAAGCCAGACCTTACAGGTTACATTTCAGTCTTGTTTGTGAATATGGTGTCACTAGATTTTTCCTGGGTGTGTGGTTAGAGGAATTTCTTTTCATAATGATATGATGCCTCTAGCTATGAATCTGGGTACAAGGAAGCTATCTGAAAATAAAGATATCTGCATTTTCTAAAATTTCTTAATTTTAAACATAAGGAGTAAAATATTTTGTTGCTGTGTTAGAAATTTCAGGCTGGTTCACAGTAAGTTGAAGCAATGGAGTATGTGCTTTGCAGGTCATCATTCATCTGACAAGTAACAAGTTTGGTTTGGCCTTTCATAAGGTTTTCTTGTGTTTTGCTCTGTATAACACAACTTCTGATATTTCTACTCAGACACATCATTTTCCTGTCCAGCCAACTTTTGCTGAGGAGACAGACCAGTGCCTGCCTAAAATTTTAAACAGCAACCCTCCCCTCATTATAAAGGTAATTAAATTTCCACCATCTTCCCAGCTAGGTGTGTGCTGAGAAATTGTTTCTCAAAGCATGCAATCGGATCTTCTGGGTACCAGTTGTTGTAACTGAGGTGTCAGTTCTTTAAAAAGCTGCCTTAGAACCCTCAAAGAGGCAGCTTCTGGTGGAAATGTGGTTAGTAGTGACATCTACTGGTGCTCACCATGCTGTGCTGCTTCAGCTGAAGGCAAACTCATTTAATCAGAGGTAAGTATTTTAGTGCTACTGAAGTTAAAACAGAAGGTTAGTGACATTTGGGTTTTTTAACTCATCTTTTGAGCCTTTGTCACATAAACAGGTGTTTTATCTCTTTGTATGCTCTTAATACTTTGCCCCTGCTACTTAAATGTGAGTTCTTAGATGTGTATTCTCTTGAAATTACGAGAATATTTTTAAATTTTGTTGGAAGTTGGGTTTCTATTTTAAAAAAAGACAATACAAAAAATCTACTTTAAATCTCTGTGTGAAGGACAGTAATTTTGGCCTGATTTACTGATTATAATACTTAAAAATTGGAGACCTCATATAAGAAGTGTTATATAAATATAAGGATATTCTGCATATGCAAAATCCACATTTACTGATGATACTGCTGTGGTAAGACTGGAGATATAATAGGCTATAGGATAAAAAATGGTGTTAGAACTTCTTTAGCTCCAAAGAAATGACTTATTAGTGAAGTTCTCTGAAGATCTGCTGACTCAACAGCCCCATCCAGAGCGGTTGTAAGGCTGTGTGCAGTGCTTTGCCCTCTCTCTTTTCCTGTTAAGTGGATGGTTTTAGTCTGGGTGAACTCATTCTTCGTTAGGTGTTGCTTTTGTGTGGATACCTGCATTTTAAAGGGAATACATTGGATTTCACATGCACTAAAACATTTTATTTTCTTTGTAGTTTTTAGCCTTACAAGACTTGATGTTACTATCCAAGTATTCTCCTGTTCGACGACAGGAAGTCTTTAGCCTTAGTCAGCCAGGTAATGATAAAAACTATTTCATACTGATTCTTTTTCCTTTTTAAAAAGAAGTTAGTCAAATGCTTTTAGAAATTATTTAATTCTGTGACATTTTAGAAGGCCTCATAAGTAAAAGTATCCCTATGATGCCTTTTCCAAAAGGATGCCTAATTTTATATATATCTATATATGTATTGTTTCATCTACTAACCTCAACAAACTAGTGCCTGTGGTTTGATTTAAATGACAGCCATGAGGAAACACAGGTCTCAGAGTAATGAAAGCAGGGTCCTCTTGACACCACCAGTCAAACAGTCCAAGCTGAATAATCTAACAGCTAGGTACAGAAGCCTAATGTTGAGATGTGGAGTGAGGGGAAATCGAGCATAAATAGTGAGTCACTGCTAGGGATTTGAAAGCAAATAATGACTCTAATTACAATTAGTATTCAAGCCTCTTGCTATATATAAAGATATGGCAGAGAAGGTAAATTAAAACTACTTAAAAGCCTTCAGGAACATTTGGTTACACCTCATCAGGAGTTGTAGTGTTTGTACTACTTCAGAACTGTTTACTATCACTGTTGATATTACTCTATTCATTTTGGTTGGTTAGTGATTTGAGATCTGATCAGCTGAACTGTTTTTCCTGCTTGCTTAGCAGATTTCATTAAAGTCTTTTTTAGAGTTATCCATTGACAGGAGGATCGAGTCTGTCCGTGCTTTCATCTTCCTCTCAGTACCAATAAACTGTCACAGGGAAAAGGCACTGTGCCTTTTTAGAAATGGAGTGGTACTATAATCTCTGAAGCTCATGCTGAGAGCACATGGGCACTGTCAGCACAGATGGAGGGATGAGCATCTGGGTTAAACACACCTACTGTGTTTCCTCTTTGCCTGTGCTGCTAGGCGGGCACCCGCACAACTGGACTGCAATATCAAGGGAGTGTTTGAGTCTGCTGAGTGACCTGACCCAGAGGCTGATCACACAGCAGGAAGCTGCAGCAGCAAATGGCAGAGCAAAGCAGCCAGCAGGAGAGCTGAAAGTACCTCCACGGACTCCAGGTATGTGAGGAAGCCCTCAGAGAAGTTTATAGAGCATGAAAGTACCAAGAGATCGCCTAGGTAGGTTAGTCTCAATTAAGTTGTGTGGGGAGGGTGGATCAGAGTTTCTTGCAAACAAATGCAAGCAAAAATGTCTCTCTCTCTATTTCCTTTTAGGTATTCTTGTTGAAGTAATCCCAAAATAACTAGAAAACTTGGAAAGATCATGTTTATTCTGTTTGTTGACTTTGCCTGATTTTATGTTCAATACAGTCTTTTTTTCCGCATTTGTGTGTATTAAGAAACTCTAATTATTAATTTCAGTAAATGGTTCAACCTACTACAGGGAGAACTTAAGTCTTGCCAAGAGATGCTTTGTAATTTGCATAGCTGCTCTCATGATTAGTTTAAGATGGTAGAATTGTTTTGTGGTGTTGTTGTGGGGACTTTGAATATGTTTGTGATTCTTATTCTACAGTCATATTAGTGAAAAGCCAGTCTGACTCTTGAGCTGTGTGCAGCCTGCAAACATTTCAGGTGCTTTATGAGCCAGACTTGGGCATCATTCCTGGCAGCAGAGCTGTTGGCACAAGGGGTGTGAGGTAGTTGAGTCCCTTGGCAGCCAGTGCCTAGGATACAAGTGCCCTGGGAACAGCAGGGAACTGTTGGTATGTCAGAGGTGAATTTCTTCTAGTTGTGCTGTTCCTTGGATTTTGAGGCTGACATGTCTTTTCTTTCATACCAAACAGAATCAGAAGGAATTGCCATTCCTCTATAGGTAGCCTATTTTCTAGTACTTAATCCTAAAAGCACACTTATGGATATATAGCAGGGCATACTTCTGATGGCTAGCAAAAGGAGAAAAAGAAATCCACCAGGATTCTTCTCATCACTTGCTGTTCTTAAACTGATGAACTTTTAAAACACTGCTTCCTTGTGTACTTCTTTGCAAGACCACAGTGGAAACAGTGTCCTTTAATAAAAGCTCTGATGATACAGAAGTTGATGAAGTAGCAATCAAATAACAAACCTGTCTCTTATTTCACATGCACCAGCCTGCTTGTCTTCACACAGTGTGTTCTTTGCCATTAGGAGCCGTTGTGCCAGAAGAGATGTCTTTCCAATCACAGAGGTCCAGTGTTCCTAGGACCTCCATGTCTTCACTGGTGAAATCATCTCTAATGCCTTTAAAGGCATCGCCTGGGTCTGATGTTGGTTCACCTTTCAGCTCCCCTGCTTTAAATGGCAAGATGGGAATTGTGGATGTAAACTCTCCTTGGCATGGGTCAGTCCACAGTCCTCGTGTTACGAGAAGGGGACCGAAGCTGTGGACCTCGGGTTCAGGTAGAGGTTTTTCCACAGCACTGTTTTTGGCCTTGTAGTAGGCTAAGTAGCCTAAGTGTAGTAGCTGTGTCAATATCTTGAGGATTAAAGTGACTGCAACCAGTTTTTGTGAAGATACGGTATTTCTCTTGCAGATCTGCAAATGAATGGTTCCCACCACGAGTCCTTTCCAGTGCCCTCTGCTTCAAGACTTGGCAGTGAGGCAGTGCAACCAAGATTTATTTACACATGGCTTCAGAATAAGCAAGAACAGGTAGAGTAAAAGTTGGAATAAGATAGGTTACAACCAGTGCAACTTAGGTGTTCTCTCTTCTGGAAGAACTTTCTTTTTTTCTGAGTGAATACTTCCTCTTCCAATTAGTTTACATGACAAAAATCCTTCCCCCCACCCCCTCATCCCTTCATGCTGTGAGAAGATGGGGGCATTGAAGAGGGCAAACTATGCATTCCGTATATAAATACAAATTATATTTATGATCTTTTGTTTCTTTTCAGATCAAAAACTTCTTGTTAAAACGAGTGCTGATAATGTATTTCTTCAGCAAGGTAATTGTGATCTTATGCTTTGTGTCTGAGGAGCATGGACTAGAATTGAGCATATGGGTTCTGCTGTGGCACTATGTACCTTTCTCATGTAGTAAGGGTTCTAAAACCTTTCTTTTATTCTAAGGTTTTCCATTAAGCACAAATTTGTGATAATCCTAGCAGGATTATCCCATACTTGCATAAAAAAGAATAAGAATACTTGTTTAAACTCACCAGATTATAAACTGCATTTTTCTTCAAGCATCATGTCCTCTTAAAACACAACTGAGAACTTAAAAACAATTGTCTTAGTATACCAACTGTAAGTTTATACAGCATCTAGTTAGTTGTTAAATTCAGTTAACTGTTGCTTTTTAGGTCCATGTACCAAACAAATTCTTCATAGCATTCCTTTGTAGAAGAGGTGGTAGCTAGAAAGTTGGGAATTTCTCCTTACAAAATACTGGTACTAGTATTACTACCACTTTTCAGGTGAACTTGAACACTTAAACTGAATTTGAATGGTGTTTACACAGAAAAACAATTGGGTATTTCTCTTGCCATAGTTGAGCAATAATTCTGTTACATTTTACAGAAGCATCCCTCTCCAATTTAGGTCTTTGTTTTTCAGGGATTTAAATGTTTCCTCCAAATAGAGCTCATCTCCTTACAAAATACTGGTACTAGTATTACTACCACTTTTCAGGTGAACTTGAACACTTAAACTGAATTTGAATGGTGTTTACACAGAAAAACAATTGGGTATTTCTCTTGCCATAGTTGAGCAATAATTCTGTTACATTTTACAGAAGCATCCCTCTCTAATTTAGGTCTTTGTTTTTAGAGCTCATATTTTTATATGCAGATTTTCTCTGTGCATGTGATAATGGTTTATGCTTACATGTACAGCAGTGTTTTCTGATCAGTTATAGATGGGCAGAGACTGAGGCAAACAAGATGATGAAATAGGCATGGAGGAATTTTATTGCCTGTTTAGCTCTTGAAAACTAGCTAGCTAATATTATTTTTTAATTTTTTTTTTCTTTTTTTTTTTTTTGGAGTCCCAATTATAGTTTATAGCTTTGTGAGCAGCTTCTGTCCAAGAAGAATTTTAGTTTCCTGAAAGATCAGATTTGGTATACCCTGAGTTCTGTCAGCCTTGCAGGTCTGTTTGGAGGGGAGGAACAAGACCTTACCAAATGTGTAATACCCTGATTGAAGCATGCAGTTTTGGTCATGTTATTTATAAAGTCTACTCACAATACTTCAATTTCTTCTCAGCACCCAGAAGCCTCCATCCAAGCTGTCTTCTCTGATGCCCAGATGCACATCTGGGCTTTGGAAGGTAAGCAGTTTCTATTCCAAGGTGATCTACTTTTTTGACTTACGGACCTACAGCAACTAAAAGGATCCAATTCTAGGTTTCTGGGGCTCTGTGCTTTGTAAATGTAATGGAATAAAATTCTTTGAATCTATTTTGACAAAAGCCTGACTGCATTTCAGGTTAACAGCATCATAAAGGTCTAATTCACTTGTTACTTTTGAGATCTCTTAGTTTATAGTCTCTGGAGGTTTGGTAGAGATTCCTAAACGTGGTTTCTGTTGCTTTTCTTCCATGGGAACCCATGTAGCACTTTCAAAGTTTTTCCAGTAGCAGATTAATGATGCTTTTTTACAACAGTTCTTCTGACTAAAGGCTCTGGGTCTTTGTTAATCACAGAGCTGAGGGAGGAAGGCTCCTCAGGTAGTAACTTAAATAAATGGAAAAGGATGGTCTGCAGAGAATTACCAATGACAGTCTGGGGTGGGACTGTGGGGTTTTTTTGATTGTTTCAAACTCTTGAGCAAATACTGGTATTGATAGAATCTTTTAATAGATCTGACTGTGCAAAAGTTGATCTTTTTCCTGGATTATGTGTTTTATGGGCAGATAGGCCATGCTGTGTTGGATTGAAGGTGATGAGTGAGGAACTACAGAGTCATGAGATGGGACTTGCACATACAGTTTACAGAAGAGGAGAAGATACCATTTGTGTTTTAACTGAGAGCAGAGGGCTAGGGTGTAACTTAAAATATTACAAACAAGTAAACTGAGAAGGGATTTAAAGCTAAATCAAGGTTTCTCTTAAAGTAGTAGAGTTTTCCTCATACAAGCTGAACAAAGAGAGTTAAGTGATCTGGAAATGTTTATGGCTGGAAGAATTGTGAAATTGGTCCTTTCTCTTACCTGTTGTCAGGTACAGCTCTCATCAGAGCAGTGGAAAGAGGAAGTCAGTGCTTTTTAAAAATGTATTTTATATATAATCTGTCTTGCCTTTTGCCATCAATCTGTGGTACACCTGTCAAAGCAGTGGTTTAGTCCTGAAGCAAGCCAAATCTGAGGTAACTGTCACCTCACTGCAGTGAGGCCTGGCGAGTTCCACCACATCAGAACCACCTTCAGGCAAAACCACGATCTCTGTTAATGCTTCAGAAGTTGAGAATTCAGCAGCTATAGGAAATTTTTATGGTTTTTTTAAAGGTCTGTCTCATTTGGTAGCAGCCTCCTTTACCGAAGACCAATTTGGAGTTGTCCAAACTACACTGCCAGCTATCTTGAATACTTTACTGACTCTTCAGGAGGTAAAAAACTGTTAACTTTTCCTTACTGCAGAACAGTGTAGGAGAAGAGAAGATTTTTTTTGTTGATTTTATATTTTGAGCTTGCTGACTAGTCATAACACTCAAGTTGTTACAACTGTAACAGCTCTTCTCTGCTTAATCTAAACAAAGCAGCTAGTTGCTACTAGGTGCACTAGGAAAGAGCTGAATAAAAATTTTGTTAGTTTGTTAAAGTGGCAGAGTGGAAAGCATGTTTTTAATGGAATGTTTCATTTTAAGAAAATGGTGCCATGTGCTCAGTTAAAGACCTTGTTTCAGAGATGCAGCAATTTATAATACTATATTTTTCTGTATAGCTAGGACTTAATCTTTGTTTGGCTTGTGCAACTTGGAGCACTTGGAGATATTGCAAATCACAGGAGATAAGATCTGTGTAGTGTTCTACTAAGACATTAGCCTTCAATTACTGATGTTTGTGTAATGTGTATTTAAAAGAAAATCAGATTTGTTTCTAAGGCTATTCATGTCCTATTGAGATAATAATTTACATTGCCTTAATGGAATTTTTTTGAAAGAATTTAGAGATTATTTAGAAAGTAATTTGGTGTAAGCTCTCTATTCCAAGAACAGGCACCAGGGAAGGGAGGGGAAAAAACCCCAACCAATGCTTTTGTTTCTGAAAGAAGCAAGTCATAATACATCACAGAATTATGTTTCTACTGCAGCATGTGCTGTGCTTAGCATTTAAAACTCATTACCAGTGAATCTTTTTTCACAGAACTTGGTTCTGTGTTCATGTTGATGGCCAGAAAATGCAAGATCAAGCTGAGTCTTCAATACATTTTTGTGTTGTGGTGGCATTTCTGAACTTGCACTTTTGTTTTATTTGACATAAACATGTTGCTAGGTACATTATGAAATACTTGAACAGGTGAAACAAGTTGATTTGTTTTGTTCTCTCAGGTGGTAGACAGGTACTTCAAACTGCCTCATGTCTCTAGCAAGCCCCCCAGGGTGTCAGGGAGTCTGGTGGACACATCCTACAAAACACTGAGATTTGCTCTCAGGGCATCTCTGAAAACAGCTCTGTACAGGATAACTACTGTCTTTGGAGAACACTTAAAGTAAGAACTTCTTCATGATTGCCTGCTTGCTGAGTCTAATTTTAATTAATGTTATTGTCAGACCTGTGAAAGGGGAAGTTTGGGCAAAAATCCCTTCAGGTCATTATTCTAACATATTTTAGTGGTTTTTGATTTGTGGAATCTTAAAAAAAATTCGTGTGTAGCTGTATGGTCCCTCTTAGAATCTTATTATTCACAGATTTCTGGGCAGTTTTTCTTAGTGAATTCTCATACTTGGCCTCTGAATATTTGGGACTGAAACCTGCTGCAGTGCTTGCTCTCCCCTCTCTCCCCTCTCTCCCCT